AGAAAGATGTCTATATGTTAAATGGGTCTTTCAAGCTTTTTCTTGTTTGATGTATTCTAGCATTTCTTGTACGCAATGTATTCTTTTCTTATGCTATTAAATGAAGTCCAACTGTGTTCATAAAGCAAATGAGTATATGCATGAAGAAATGTGTTCATTTTATTTTTGATTAAAGCATATAAATATATATATGTGTTCTGAAAAAAAAAGAATTCTGTTTTTTTTTCTTTGTATGCTATATTCAAGTTTTTCTTTCAGGATTCTTCTACATAGAGTATTGGTAAAATATATTTCGGCCGCCCTTTTCCTCGAAACATATACCAGTCAATAGAACTTGAAAGTCTGACGAGAGAACGTTTTTAACTTTTGAATTCGGACTTGATGCATAAGGTAGACTCTAGTAACAAATGAAAAATCTCGAAAAGGATAAGTCTTCTTAAGCTTTCTGTCTACAGTTACAGTAATTTTACTAGAATTTTCGCCTTTGACATGCTATATACTGACAAATCGAAATCTCATCATTCGATTTGTTGATATTTACTATACCAGACACTAAAATTCTAGTAAAATGCCTATAATTCTAGACAGGAGGCCTAAAAGGACTTATCCTTTCAAGGTTTTTCATATCTCACTGGACTCTCCCTGATGCACTTAATCCGAATTCAAAAGCGATTGATCAATTGATAACGTTCATTTGTAAGTTGACAAGAAATTTTACATGAGTATTCTTTGTATTGAAATCAAATTTGTTGTAATGTTTAGTTCAATCTATGTCGAAGTATAAGTTAATGATATTCTGTTTCAACATGAACATGTGTAACAGTTATTATTGATAAGAAAGGAATATTTAATCTCATAGACTTTCTGATTTTGTTAAAGTATCCTAATATGCAAAAGATTTTTATATATGAGAAAACAAAAATAATTAATTAAGGTTTTCAATATATATTTTAGATATATCAAAAATAGAACCATGAATGAAGAAGATCTTCGAGAATTTTTAACAGCACAAGATGGTATTGAATTTGCACCAACTGCTGAAATGATGATGATGAATTCAGCAGCAGTGAATGATAATGATTCACTTGATTTAGAAATACAAGGAATGATTCAGCAACAACAAGATCGTATTGTTCGTGCTAATCCACCTGTTGTTACATCAACAAGAACTGATCCTGATGATGATGACGATTTATTACTTGAAGATGAAACAATGCTTGAACGTATTATCGCATTGAAAGAAATGTTTCCAGAAAGTGTTCAAAATGCTGTTGGAACATTGAATCGTACAGTACTTAATACAACAAAATCAGCTTATAGTAAAGGTCGTACAGCAACTTGGTGGTAAGATTTGTAATTCATTTTATTTATTTATTTATTTATTTTGTAAAATAACAATCTATATTTAGGTTAACTTCAACTATGTGTGTACTTGTTTTTCCAATTCTTATTCACAAAGAATTATTACAAGTTGCTGAACAAATCAGTCGTGAACAACGATCAATTCTCCTTGGTCCACAAGCAGCCACAGGTGCTATTAGTGGTGGTGCTTTCTAGAATTCTTTTTCATTGTTTTGTTCCTTTTCTATTTGTTTTGTGTTGACTATTTGTATTCAACCCTAACAGTAAGATCAATTAAAACAAGATTCTTTAATAAACTGAGCGTATGAAAATTTCAAATTTTTTTTTTTTATTGCCAGAAATTTGACTAATATTCATTCGTAGTCAGATAATTTCTTTTTTCTCCTTTATCAGAACTGAAATTGAGATATTAACATAAAATGGAAGTTAATATAACGAAGTACGGCACAAACAAGATATATTTGAATGGATATCCACTTTTCAGCATTTTGAAGAACAGCTCATTAGAAAAAATTGACATTTTCAGGATAAATCAATCTCGATGAATTGAGCAAAAGTTGTCTTAGACTCAAAATTCCAAAATTCTGTCTTCTAGGAGATATCCAGGTTGTAAAGATATGAAGTCGCCTTTCTAATGACTCTACCTTCTCACCTACAATACGTCAGATAGAGTTGAACATTTCTTTTACATAAGTACTGTACACGGTTTGAGATGTTTACTTTTTTTTTTGCTTCTTTTTATCATCTTCCATGCGAATAAAAAAATCAGAATACTGAGTGTATTCTAACCCTAAACACTTTCTAGTATAAGTAAAAGAAAGTTTTTGCTCGATCGAATGTATTATTGCTGAGAAACGGAAACGATTCTCAACTTCTTTTGTCAATAAAATTCATTATTTAAAAACAACGACATAGTGTGTAAAGTTTGATGTTTTTGTAAACGAAGATGTTTCATCTTTTTCGATTTTTATAATTACATATTAAGTTATGAAATGCATGCAGTAGATAAAGGAATATGGACAGGTGCTAAACCGTCATCTCTATTAAAAAAGGTTCCATGTTTTGAAATTTCATAATGATCGGTATTTTTTGAATAGTTCAGCTCTAGCTAAAGAAAATCAATGAAATTCTTATTGCTCTCTATCTATAATAAAAATTTCAGAGATTTTACTTTCATCATTGACGAGAAAAAGATATTATAATGTAAAAAAAAATGAAACTTCGTAGCGATTGGCCACGCCAGCACTTGATAAAAAGTAATGCAAAATTTAGTAGACAACTTTTTCAGGTTAAAAACTGTAAAGTAAAAATAGGCTTCATTCATTATAATTCTTGTTGCATTTAAACATTCGAGGCAAGCTCATGGCTCTGATCTACATTCTTAGTGGATTATATGCACAGAAATTTTCAGACCTCCAATACCTGTGATAATTGAGATTTGGTAGCGTAAAAACTTGTGTTCACTGCTGTATGTGCATATCTTTATCGCGTCAGTTCAGGAAGAAATGAATCAAGTGTCAATGAATGTAACTTGTTAAAAAAAGCAATTGCATTTTCTCTAATCGAGAATAGTTTTTTTGATCATTTGCGCACATGCAAAGAATATATTTTATTAATTTTTTAACCGAAGAAAACAAATTATTCCATAAATAAATGCAATTTAATCAAAAACAAAAAACTAACAACGATATTTAGGTTTCATAGTATGGTATTAAATATTTGCTTGTTGCAAAACAAGTTCGTGTATCATCTTGTTCAACATTTCGATATGCAATTAAAATATCCATTTGTTGACTTAAAGCTAATCGATCAATAATACATTTATTTTCTGCAAGTTCAATACCACTAAAAGCTATTTCTTCAATATATTCTTTTCCACACCACATAAATAATCTTCTATCAATTGTTTGAAAACATATAAAAATATTTTCATCATTATATATAATAACATCAAGAATATCTTTTATATTTTTTCCAATATAACGTGAATATGTATCAAGATTTTCAAGTGTATTTAAATCATATATAAAACATATTAATTTATTATTATTAGATTTTAAACCACAAATAAGTAATTTTTCTTTATTTGATAATAAACGTATATGTATGGATGTTAATTGTAAATCATAACCAAGAAAATTTTCTCGTTTTTTTTCATGTACAGATAAACCAAACATAAGATTTAATTGTTTTATTGTTAAACAATCAATTTTAAAATCATATATTATTGTTATTTGTTCATCATTATCAGAATAAGTTATTATATCTTGTTTGACTTTTTGTTTTATTTCATTTTCAAATTTTTTTGGAAAATTAAATAAATATTCACTTGTATCTTCTTTTATAAATTGTTTATTTACATATGAATATGAATAAAGTGAACATGTAAATTGTTTTATTTGTTGAGGAATAAATGAACCAAATAGACGTAAAAATGTTGAATCCGATTGTTCATATGATACTTGATAACCAATGACAGGTTTTGAATATGTTTGATTTTTTATTTGAATAAAATCAAGATAAACATGTTCAACATGTTGAGCTATAGGATCATTTACTGTTGGAAGTATTTCAAATGGTAAAATTATTTTCATAAGACGTTTTGAGTCTAAAATAAATTAATAATTTCTCTTATAAGATAATTATTTACAAGATAAAATCAATTAATATAAAAATTTGATGTATTTTTAAAAATCTTGAGAAGATTAGAGAAAGTTTTCATTATTGCTATGAACAGCTTTTACGAAGAATTCCTATGAGATTTAATTATAAAATAAAATTGAAGAGATTTTAACAATATGTTCAATGATGATAAGAATATTTTAGTTAGAAAAAACAAATATTTTTTTGTGTCTTATATTTACTTGTTGCTGGTTCAAATCTTAATCCATTAAGTAAAAATCCTTGTCTTGGTCTTGGCGGTCTTTCATGTAAAATTTCTGTTAATTGATCTCTAGCTTGTTTTTCATATAAAACAACATGTACATCATGTGCATGATTAACTAATGTTTGAATTAATTTATCAAGTTCATTAACTTTATCTTCTTGTTTTTGTAATTGATCAAATATAATAAATAATCGTTGATCACGATCAAGAATTTTACTTATAAAATCAATTGTTTCATTTAATTCTTTATGAATAGATTTTAATTTATTTACATAGAGACGTTCTAATTGATAACGATTATCTTGTGCTATTTGTGATAAAAGTTTTATTGTATGATATTGTTGTCGATGATGTAACATATTTTCATCAATAAGACATTCTGAACAAAGACATTCACAACATTTTGTACAATAAAATTCTAATGGACGTTTATTATGTCGTTCTGAACATGTAAATGATATTGTTTCCTCTAATTGAATTGGAACTTTAGGTAAAAGACGAATTTCATCAAATGTACGAGATAGATGTAATGATGCTGGAAAAAAATGTGCATGATATCCATAACATGTTTGACAATAATTTTCTTGACATTGATAGCATCGACCATGAAGATTAACGGAATCCATTCGACACAAAGAACATTGACCTAAAATTTATTTAATTAGACAAAATAAAAAAAAAAGAAATTTGTTTTTTTCGTATTTACCAATATGTTTGTTTTCGATATCTTGTTTCTGTCTATAAATTTTTATAAGTTGTTCTTTATCAATTGCTGGTGGAAGACAACTAGCATCACCATTAGGTAAATGAATTGATGATGCTCGACATTGTGGACCTAATATAATAAAAAAAATTAGTTTTTTGTTTTTTCTAATCATTCAATCAAATATATAAAACATACAAGTAGCAATATCCATTTCATTTTTACATGAATGATGATATTCTTCTAAACATCGACGACAAGCTACATGTAAACATGATGTTCGTTTTGGTTCTTCAAATATATCCAAACAGATTGCACAAGTTATTTCGTCTAATAATGATGATGATAAAATTTTATTTTCATTATTAGAATCATTATCAAGAGGTATATTATCGAATTCCATCTGTATGAAGTTTGGAATGATTAAAGTAATTTGTAAAAACCGAAATTTTGTTTTCTTGTGATGATGTATGTATCGATCGAGGGAAAGAAAACAATTCTATAGAAAAAATCTTGACCAATAATAAATGAAGTATTATTCGTAGACGGCGCTACCGTCAAATGAAGAGAGATTAGTTGATTCTATTCGTACGATAGATTGAACAAATCGAAAAACTTTAAGCTGTTCTCGGAAGCATTCAGCTTTATATATACAGTCTAGGACAAAAGTAACTGCTCTTTCGTGAAATATCACCATTCTTGATAATATTGAATTGATAATTTGGGTGAACACATGCGCCAATAAACCCTAATCGCAAGCACTAACAATCGCTTGACCGATTCGCATGTGCTGGAGTTATGATTAAAACCATACTTGGAACTGGTATCGGACTGACTGTTTTTGTCGATTACTGGCTTGTATGAGCTTTTAAAACCGGCCGATTTTCATCGAGATTTTTTTATTGATTTTGAGGGCATTAAAGCTGTTCTATTTTGCTGGTTTTTAACAATTCCTATGATTTTAATCATGAAGAGATATGAGTCTAAAAGTCTCCAACTAACAAATCTCTAGGCGTCATCAAAATCTCGTCTCTAAACATTGAGCTAATACTTTCTCATCGTAGAATGAGAGCCTCGGATTATACTCAATGAATTTATTATGCACACGAAAGGTTAGTCAAATATTAGAAGCTAAATTCGTTCTAAACTGAAAATTTTTCACTTCAAAATTTCGAGTTTACTTTTCTCGACTACTTTTAAGTGACTCTCATAAAATTCCAATAGCTAGTAGTTTTCAATTCATTCTTTTATTACTAAATATTGGAAAGGATCTTATTCTTTTGTCAGCATCGTAGCAACTACTAACATCATGCAACTATGAAAATATTTAGATATTAAAAAGCCCTAAAATAGGAAGTCTAATATAAAAATTGTACGTTTGAGTTCACATTATCTGTCTGTCAGCAATAGTATCCTTAATTTTATGAGTTGAGATGTCTTTCAATTGTGTTAAATAATTATTTCAAATAAGAATAGATTAAACTTAACAATTGTAAAGAAATCATATCATTACCGAAAGAGATCAGTCAAAAACATAATATAGATGTTGTTCAACATTAGCTGCTGCGAATTACTAGATGAAACGTTTTGAAAGAAATCTTCGTTCGTTCTTAATGTTAACACATGAAACGTGGCGCAGACTAAAATAGAAGTTGTTATTATTAGAAATTTCAAGAGTTATATGAGTTTTACATTATATGTCATCGTAGAACTGAAGTAGTGGACTATTTCTCGAATGGATCGATTGCTTAATTGATATATTAAGTGCACCAGCTTTTTGCTGATTTTTATTGCCGGTTAAGTCGAGAATTTCAATCGGTCGAAAAATAAATCCAATCGGTTCCAAGTATAATTCAAACATTATATTCCTTTTATGAAAAACATACTCAGCGGAAATATGCACGTAAAAAGTTTTTGTTTATCATTTTGCTGTTCCATAAGCTACTACTGTTTTCTTCTGGTGCTAAAGACAATCCCATATGTCTACTTTATTATTATCAAAGCTCATAATATATAGTCAAGATCTTAGTAATTAGCACGCTCTGAGATAGTGAACCGTTCTCGTAGAGCTAATTCGACTTGATTCAGTACTGCGACTCTAAAACTTTCACAAGAGACTCATCGTCTCATGAGAACTTTCTACTAAAATTTTCAGATGAATTAGTTAGAGTTATCGTGGAAAAGATTCACATTACTAAAAGCTAGTATTTACTTTTCAACAGACATTCTTAACGAGAAGACAATATCTCAGTTATTTGAATGTGATTTCTAATAAAATTCGAACTACAGTTAGCTACTACATTGACCATGCGAATGAACAGTGAAACAAAAATATTTTTGCTAACAGAATTCATATAGGATGATTACACGAGGAAGATGATGTGTGAATTGTAGATTCAATATAGGTAAACCGATGCATGGTGGGTTGGTGCTTGCAATTAAGGATTATTGTCGCGTGCATGGACCAAAAATATTAGTTCAATGTCATAAAGAATATAGTAGTACTACATGAGGGACAACTACTTATATTCAGGACTGTAAATATGGAAGAAAGTTTTCCATTTTGTTGACTTTCTTCTCCATACAGAAATCACAAAACTGAACGCAACTATTGATAGATGAATAAAGACTGCACTCTAATGTGCAGCATGACTTCAATAAGATAATTTTGAAATTCGACCTTTTCAAAGGGTCATTCTAAGAAACTATGCCATAAATTAGACGAATTACAACATTGATAAATAGAAATATGCTGTGTTGATATATATATTAAAATAATGGCAGTGAGTTACCGATACAGAGTCCATTGGGGAACTGATCACACTGGCATTGCTGTTCATTAAAGCACTGACAATATTGACATCCGCGTTTGCTGTAGCATTGAGACACCAACTCCATCCAAATATGTCCTTTTCGTAGCCACGTATTTCAATGCTTTAGTGAACATTAGTATCAGTGTAGTCAGTGTGAACAAATTACACTTAGTCGATGGTCAGTAAACTGAAATTGCACATCCGTAAACATAAAAGATCAACTAAAGGATAAATTTTACTATTTATTTAATAGGAACTCTCTCCAAAATGCATAAAGTGTTGTTTGAAATAAATTGTTGGAAAACATCTACCTTCCTTGGGATCAACGATTGAAACTATTTTACAAGATTTTATTTACATTAGTCCATAAGATATCAATTAGACGATCAAAGCATTTCAAGTTGAATTAAATTAAAACAAAAATGAGTGACAAATAAAGTGAAAGAAGAACGCTTGATTTCTTAAATATGCAAAATTCTGGTATATAATAGAGGATAACACTAAATTTCTAATGAATATGTAGGGCATTCTAAAAGTTCTCTGAATTGATTGCATTTAAAAACAATAAAAAGTATTGCTGTATATATATGATTGCCTTGTGTAATTCATACAATCCTCTATCTATAGATATCATATGCTCTGCTCAATGAAACATATTTACGAAAATATAGAAATGTATTTTAGATGACCTTAAATACATTAATAGAAAATTAAAAATTTAAATAAAGACTCATGTTTTTGAATGTTAATTGTTATCCAATAATTATGAATAATGCACAAATGACCATTTACAATGAAAATGCTTTATGATATCGAACGAACTAATCATTCTAAAAGCAAATAGCTAAGTTTTGATGATAGTTCTACATATGATTTATATATCATTGAGATCATGTTAAAGAATGTGGTATTTCCTTGATTTGATTTGATTTTAGTCATATGTAATTGAACATGTAAAATTCTATGTAGAGTACACTGAAATACAATCAATGTTCACTATTAACACAGTTGCGATTTGATTGTTTTCGATAATCAAGGTTTTCAAAGTCATAATAGTTATATCATTAATATCTAGATTATTATCAATGTAAAATAATCTATGTTTAAGTTGAGGATCTTATTCACAAATTGTACTAAGTAAAGGACAATTGATGATGATATACTCTCATTATACTTTCATAATATTATATTAGACATGATCCTTCAGATCAAAAAAATATAATTATAGAGCAATGTTTAAATGTTTTTTAAAATTTTCTATCATTATCTTTAGAATATCTGAAAATGTATTTCTATACTTTCATATGTATGTTTAATTCAGCAGAGTTTATTATGTCTACAGATAGAGGATTGTAAGAATTATGAACAGGAAATAATATTTAAAATAATAGCACTTGTTGTTATTTTTAAATAAAATCAGTCTGAAAACTTTTTCAATGTTACACGTAAGTCTCTAGTATAAAAAAAAAGAAACAATCAACAGAATTAAATCATTAAGAAAAGTACAATTATTGTATTATATTTCTTATTCTAAATAATTGTTTCATTAATAGCCATTTTTTGTAATAATAATATAATATCTTCACTGATATTAAGAAAACCTATGTCATTTGTTTGTCGTCCTTTATCAAAACAAATATCAAGAATATTTTGAAAATAAACATGCATCATACGATCTTCTTCTTCTGTCCAATTCATTGAAATGAGTAAAGCAGCATACTCATCATACTCATCTATTTCATGAGGTCGTAAAATGAGTTTCCATTCATCAGTTGGTGTAGATTGTTTAGACATGAGCACAAATGATGATGTATTTCGTACAAAATGACTAACTATCCAAGGCCAATATGAATAATCTTTTGATTCCATACATTGTTGAAGTATTTCAATAAATACACAAACTGTCAAATCCACATTAGCTTCACCAACAATACGTTTCTCAGATGTTTGAAATTGTAAAGTCGAGCCATCCAATCGAAGTCGATGTTGAACAGAAAGTAATCTACCAAGAGCATTTTTCATTGCGATACTTAATAAACCTTCTGATGATGGTTGTTCTTTATCTATTCGATTTTGTAAAAGAGGTGTAGCAAATAACCATGGTAAACTTAAGATTGGTGCTTGTTCTGATGCATATTCTCCAGCATAACAGGTATCATAACAAGCAACAACCACAGCTTGTTGTAATTCTCTACACGCGTTACATAACTTGGACACTAGTGTATCATCATCACATTTACCTGTGTCACAATAACTAGCTTGATAATTAAAAAAACGAGCTCTTGTACGATTGACAAGTTG